ACTTGCTATTTTCCATTTTTGTGATTTTTAGAAACATTTTTAGAAACATGGCCTGGAGAAACCAATTGTTAAGCCTAAAACCTCTGGAGATGACTTCTCATCAACGCGCTCTTTCGTAGTAAAACCCCGAGATCCGATGGCACTTGCTATTTTCCATTTTTGTGATTTTTAGAAACATTTTTAGAAACATGGCCTGGAGAAACCAATTGTTAGCCTAAAACCTCTGGAGATGACTTCTCATCAACGCGCTCTTTCGTAGTAAAACCCCGAGATCCGATGGCACTTGCTATTTTCCATTTTTGTGATTTTTAGAAACATTTTTAGAAACATTGATACGTCTAACATGGCGCACCGTTCACACATTTCGATCGTTTGCGGAGCCCCTCGTCGGGTCCCCTTTCTCCCCCTTCCCCCGCTTCCCCCCCTCCATTAGTGGAGATGACTACTAAAGCACAGATTAGGGAGGAGGAGTGAAGAGGCAGAGGCATTTCTTAAACACCTGGTGAGCACTGTGAGGACACAAGTACATACACGTGCGGCGCGAGATTGCGACAATCAGACAATACGGTTCTTCGCGCGGCACTGGGCGGGATCAAAATAGAAAGTGCATGCCGTGTGAGTTCCATGTTAGCGCTGAGCGACACTCTCTGCTATGCTGCTCAAAGAAGCAGCAGAGCTTGGCGTGGAGGAGGCGGCGGATTCGGAGGGAGCGAGCGAGCGGGGTTGCTCCCCGATGACGCATCTGGCAAAGCTGCACGCCTCCAAGTGGAGATTCCAGCACCTTCCACGTGTAGAGAGCAGCACCTTCCACGTACTGAACACACCCCCTTCCACGTGTCGCGTCGAGGACCATCGGCGTGTGTTTAGATTTTTAAAATTCAAATATATTGAATTTTATCTTATTTTGTTTGATAATAATAAAGTTCAAGATCAAAATAAAATATATCCTCTTACACTCAAGATCAAAATAGTGTCCACACCTTCCACACCTTCCACGTTCTGAACCATCGACGTGTAAAGGTGCTGGATGTGGATTACCCGCGCGTAGAATCCAGCGCGTGGAGTCCACACCTTCCACGCTGCATGGTGATGGATTTTACACATGTTGTTCTGGAACATCCCCGCCTAAGGTGCTGGATATGGACCACCCGCGTGTAGAATCCAGCGCGTCGAGTCCACACCTTCCACGTTCGATGGTGATGGATTGTACACGTGTTGCTCTGGACCGTCCACGCCTAAGGTACTGGATGTGGACCGTGCTGGAACGTGGAAGGCCTAAGGTGCTGGATGTGGACTGTGCTGGCACGTGGAAGGTGTGGACTCTACGCGTGTAGAATCCAGCACGTGGAAGGTGTGAACTCTACGCGGATGTTCCAGCACGGTCTACGTTCAGCGCCTTAGGCGTGTAGAATCCAGCACGTTCCACGTTTAGAGTCCACCACCTTCCACGTTCCACGTGTTAGAGTCCATGTTCACCGAAGGTCATGGGGTAACTGGCATGGGTTTGTTCGTCTCTGTAATCCATTGTCTTCCAACGGTCAGTACACGTGCAACCTAGTCCAACATGTTTTTTTTTTTTTTTTTAATGAACTTTGCCTTTCAATTTCAGAATGAACAAATGAGGCCGGGGTCCTCACAGTCTACCCGGGGAACAGTAACTTCTGGGAGCATTACCCAGTTTCGCTTACGGGGGAAGCCCGCCAGAGGAACATTCCTCTGATAAACACTCAGCGATTAGTCCAGAGACAAGACTAGACTTTGCCCCTAACTCGGGGTAGTGGAACTCCCAGATTCCGTAGTAACCGTGGCACTCCCTCCATACCCAACTTCCCTCTTTCTGCTGCCCTCCTACTGCGGAGGTAGAACAGAGTACCCAGGTATTTAGGACTCGCTCGAAAGCAACCATGAATCCAAAATCAACTTACCGTCTTCCACCCTTGCCAACTTATTCTGACAGGTCCATGTCTCTTCAAACCAAGACAGTCCACTGCCCCTCTGCTGATTACATGTAACTTTGCGTCTCCAGTCGATCTTCACTGTTCTCCGGATATGCATCTTAACTGATGCTTTGATAGATTTATCCGAGATAAAACGCCCTTCGAAGGTATTTCTATTCCTGACCTCCCACACTACCAGAAATAGACAGGCTCTGAGGGATTGGGCCACATAGCCCTATCCTTTGTCCAAAGCCAAACCCTCCTGGACACCCCCAAAAAGTATCCATCTGTCACTCCAGTCGAATATAGGCCCGCTGATACGAGCCCATTGAATTCTCCACCAGTCCCAAATTCTTAATGACAGCGGACAAAATAACCACAGGTGGATAGTGGACTCAAAAGGCCACTTACACCTGGAGCATTGGATCTGGATTTCCATACCTCGTGTTGCAAGCCACACGGCTGAGGGGGTGGCGAGCAGCGATAACAGCCACAGGAGTGCTGCGGCGCTGGCCATTGGAATTTTTTGAAGCTGTGCCCAGCACCGTTGAAGTTCCATGCTGATGGTATCTGTCTCTAAGGGGTAGACCTGTGACCATCTTGAGATTGCTACTGCCATGGGTGAGCGACTTGCGCGAAGCAGGTCATATCCCCCGGCAGAGTTGTAGTCTGTTAACCAAGCACCTTCGGGGAACTTTCTGGATCCTCGCCACGACCAAAGCTTAGGGTCTAAGCGCAGGGTCCTTACTGGGACCCCATCTGCCCAGGTCACACAGGTCCAGGTTCCATCTTCCTTGCATTCTTCCAGAACTCTTAACTTGTTGCAGAACTAGTGGTCTGTGATTTCTCGAGTTAAGAGTTCGAGTCGGAGTCTGAGTCTTCATCTGTGTTGTAGCATATCAGTGTCTCCGTCCCAGGACATCTTTCCCATGCCTGGAATCTTCTGATGCCATCTGCCTTTGTGACTAGGAGTTTCCACAGCAGCGCTGGGTTCTCCGTGTCTTCTTGATTCGAGTGAGATGCAGCAAACCAGGTCCCCGGAGGGGGGGTTCCTTCAGGACTGAGAAGGAACTTCCACTCCGGGGGGATAGCGGCCCTCAATTGGGCC